TTTCTTTGTAAAAACTTCAATTGAATTTCAATAAAGTTAAAGGCATGGCCTCACCGTTAATATTTAAAAAAAAAAAGTTTATCTTTTGTTTTTTTTTATTATAATCTACTACATATTACTATTTTAAATCAGACTATATATTTCTCATTCTATTTTATTTACAAAATAGTTTTTTATTAATAGCTCAAAGAAAATATTTTAATAATGATATCTTTTTTTGTTTTAACTTCATTTTGGTCTTGTTTTAACTTTGTTATAACTGTTATAATAAAAAAAAAAGAATAAAGGATTATACTGCTACTAGAATCTCTAAGGTTATTATTATTTAGCACTACTTATATTGCTTGTTATAAGTGCAAAGTATAAATGCACTTAAAAATTTTTTATTATGTAATATAAGTTCACTATTGCATAACATATCATCTGATTTGATTAGACCTCAAAATTAGCTAATCACAATTTAAGATTACTAAACAAAATTTTGTTTAAAAATCAAATTTTTAGAAGAACAACTTTTTAACTTACTCTGGGCCTATAATTAAATATGTAGAACATAATGTTATCTATATATTTTATTATAAGTTAAGGTAAGGTTTAAAGAACATTTTCTTAAAAAATTGCTTCATTCATCCTTGATATTATTAAACCCATCATTCAAATGACAAATCCATCCTTCTATACCCAAACATCTCAATAATAAGTAATATTACTTATTTTTATTGCTTAGTATAGCTGTTTTATTTGTTTTTATTTGCTTTTTAACTTTTACATATATTAGAAAAACTCTTATTGATTGTGATATGTTTTGCTTGTTACTTTTTTCAATATTAACTAGAGTAAAGTTTTTATATAACAAATTTATCGAAAAAGGGCCCAAAAAATCCAATTGGCCAATATGAAATATCTGAGTAATAAGACCCTGAGTATTATAAGTAGGTAGATAGTCTTTATAAATTATGATTCTTACTTTTTTCTATATTATATAAAGTCAATAGGTCTTCATATATTATAAATTATATAAGGGCTTTGTTATTATGATTAGAATCTTGTGAGTAATATAACTATTTAAAATATGAAAGAATCTATAACTATCAATAAGTAATTCATTCTCAATTACATGACTATAATCTTTATTCTCACTATTAAAATACAAAAGGTGTCTTATTGTTGTTTTTAATAAAACTTTTCAAACTGGAATTGGCATTATTAAATATTTTTTTTATATTACATTTAAGGTTTTAAGTCTTATATATAGCTTTGAGTCATATTGATGTATAGCTGCCAGGTCATGTTTCTTTATAACAGTACTGTACATACATATTTTTTACAAATTTAGATTCTGTATATAAAAGATGCAAGCATATATATTTATCATAGTAAGCTCTCTATATTTTCCAAATTCGAGACCCAGATTTTTACTAATTTGAATTTTCTAATTCTTTAGTTTTTATATAGGCATATGACAACTATCTATAAACTGCTATATACAAGATCCTTCCAAACATCAGATTCTATATAAACTATACTCGGGTCTATTACTATATGGGAAAGACTCTAGATATACAAATAAAAAAAATAGAATAAATCCCAGTTATCAGACCCACACCCATACAAGAGAACTGCAGATCTATTATTAGGTTTTAAAATTGGTGAAATATACTAGACCTGAGTCTTGTACAGTATATAGCAGTTTATAGCACTCATTTAAATCTTTTTTATTAAAATTTTGCATTATCTACATAATTTCTTTGTTATTCAAATTATTTATTTATATAATTTTATTGTACACTATATATTCTTACTAGTATATATAACTATGTTAATAAATATTTCTAGACTAAAGTACATAATATATAAATTTAATGTCTATTAAGATGTAATAAGATAAGTTAGATATATACATAATAAGATAGTTTAGATGTATTGTTAATATAAATAGAAGGTCTTTAATTTAGTAATAATTGATTATTATGTAGTTTGGTAGATTTGGAGACCAAATTTTAAATATATTTTATAAGTATGCTGCAATGTTTGAATTGCTTTTTATAAAAATTTGGAATCCCTTATAATAATATTATGACAACTTTTTCTAAATATACTTTTAAATCATCCTCTTATACACTAATTAGTTAACTTGTATGTTGATTTTTTAAATTAAATATTGTATTGTTTATTATATGAATATGTTATTATATATGCATTTAAGGTACTATAAATACTAACTTAGAAATATGAGAACATATATGCTTTTTGAAAAACTAATTTCAAAATAATACCTACAAGCATCATATTTTATTTATAGTAGATTATTTTGTAACTTTGTTTCAAAACATTTATTTAATTTTTATGTATATACTGTATAGTAATTATATATATAATCTGCTCTAGGTATTGTTATAACTAAAAGTAAGACTTTCCAACCTGATATTAATTTAGCTATTAGTCTGTAATTATTAAAGGTTTAGTGTCAATGAAAAGTGTATAGCAACAAGTAGTATTCCAATACATCAAAGCATGATAATTTATCAATATTAAAATAAAGTGAAAGATCCAATATGCCAAGTATATAATAAAATCAAAGAACACTATTAGACTCAAATTAGCTAATAAAAAGTAAATTATGATTTAACTACAAAAATATTATACAAAAGTATAATGTTTAATGATGTCATGATATTTTTCATAACAGTATATATTTATAGCAATTCAACAATAAAAAAAATAATTATTATTATTATAAAATGTATACTGAAGTATTATTTTACATTTCTTGTACATATCAGTATTTATGTAATTCTTTTATAATATAATTAGACTTTTATTCAGTTAAAACATCTTTTATTGATAATTCAAATTAGATAAATTTTAGTCTTAATCACAACTTTATACATAAATACAGTTTAAAATTTGAGCTTTTTTTTCAAACTTCTGTTAATTATTTAGGATTATAATCAAGTTTTCAAAAACTCTGTAAATGTTTAATGCACATCAATACCTTGTTACTTTATTGGATGTGGGGTTTATAGTTTATGAATTATACTATAAACTGTACGCACAAAATTGGTAGACTATATATCCTCAAGAAATACTCAAATTATAGTATCATTCTGATTACATATGCATTTTATGTGTCTTCTTAACAAACAACAAATTTTTATAATGATTATTCAAAATAAAGATAATATTTTACAATCAGGTTTTATTTGCACTAGTGGAAATAGTAGTAGTGGTGTACAAATCTCATTATCAATTGCTATTACTATTACATACAATATGATTTTTAAAACTAAAACAACATTTTCTGGATCAGCTGTAATTGGTTTAGATCAAATTAACATTATTTTACAATTATTAGAAGACATTTATTTTGTTTCAATATTTCTTAATCTTGAACCAATTTTAATAGTAATTTCACATATAGGAGATGATATATTTAATGGTTTTATCTCTTCTTTAATTACTAAAAAAAAAAAAAATAGTAATAGATATTTAGTACAACAGCAAATTGTGAATAATAAGTTTATTCTTGATTTTACAAAGGAACAGATTTAGAATTTCATTATAAAGATGAAAATGCATTAGATATTTGGAAAAAAACCAAACTTTTACAAAATATGATGAAATAAGTATTTTGGATATTTATATTTATCTGTTAAACAAGAATGATTAACTAAATCTATAGTTACATGTTCTTCATAGCAATGACTTTCAATTGAAAAGCTTAATGCAGTTTTTGATAGATATATAAAATCATGAAAACTTAATATAAGTAGCATGTTAGAATGGCATAGTTTATTTTTTAATTAGTTAAAAGAGAGATATTCAATTATTTGGTTAGACAAAGCATTGCAGTCAATATATTTACCAATATATCAATTACAAGATAAAAATATTTGTGCATAGAAAACAATGCTTAATGCATGTAAATGTACAAATATTACACTATTCACAAAAGATATTTCGCATTTAGAATTTTGAATATGTTCAAAAAATTCTACAATAGATTGGGCAAATTTAAAAAAATTATATAAAGATAGAATGCTTGATTTTAATTTTGTACTACCAATCTTGATTGCAAATAGTACTGATATTTTTTGCAAGGCATTTAAAGAATTATTAAGTTGTAACAAGAGTGGCTCATATAATCAAATTCGAATTCTTTCTATTATAACTGAAAAATTTGCTTATTCAGAATTGCAAGAAAAATTACAGATAATAATACAAATTAATATTTTAAAATTGGCAATTATTATTATACATGAGTATATAACAAGCCAACTGATATCTTGAATTTTTAATTATGAAACCACCTTTTGGCTTCTAACAATGAAAACTTCTTGTAAAATTTTTGTATAAACTATAGTTGTTAGATGAAACTATTTGATACTAATTATCATATAGCTACAAATAATATTTATATGTTGGTATCACGTAGTTTCACCTAACAACTATAATCCCCAACTACTCATTCATTTGTTAAAATTTTAATTAGCATGTAACACTAATTTGTGAATCAATCAATATATTCGTGTATATATATTATATGTAAAATTAGATTTTTTCTTTAAATTTTTAAAGATTTATTTTATCTTTTATTAGATCTGACCTAATACAATTTATGTAGCTTGAAAACATGCATAGTTGTATAGGCCTGAAGGTGCCCCCATTAATGTACCCAAAAAAATAGTCAAAAAAATGTCAAATATAAAAAAAAAAGAATTTGAATTATTTTTTACTAATAAATGTAACATAACTATAAGTTCATACCAAGTAAACAAAGTGAGTAAACTTCAAATTCTTTATCTTCAAAACCAAAAAAAAGCATTGTGGCCTAAATTTGAATTCTTATATCCTAATGGAATGAAAAAAACATTATTTATAAGAAGATTAGCAAATGCATCTCATATTAAATATCATAAAGACCTTAGAGAACTTTGCCAAATATGTAGCCAATATGGATTTGAAGTCTTCAAAGATTTAACTGCTATAGTCAGAAGTAATATAAAATTACAAGAAAAATTAGTATATATTCAAAATTTAAAAAAAAACTTTGTAAAAAAAAAAACTTAATTATATATTTGTATATTAGAATTCGCTTTTAATACATATCAATAATTTAAAAAAATACTTAAAACAGGAATTTGAGCAAGAATTAGTAATTAATAATGATGGAACAACATTTCATAATAGTTGTATTAATTATTGCTTATCTTATGCTTTTGAATTATATGATTATATATATGAAAAATGTTGTAAAAAATGTAATTTATTTTTTCAGTTATTCAAATTCTTATAAAATGAACTTGAAACTAAACATGAGCAATTAGATTAATACTAAGCAAAATTACAATATTATTGGGCTCATCAGGCAAGGAAAGCATATTTAAATGCCCAGATTAAGCCAATATTAAAAAGTATTAATAAAGATGGTGCTATGATTATAGCTGATTATAAGATGCGAATATTGCCAAAGTCAGCAAGAGAAACTAAACAACAATTTTTTGGAAAATATGGATAAACCTTCTATACTATTTTAGTTTTTACTTTAGATGAAAATAAAGAAAATTTAAAGATTAGTATATATAACTATTGGTCAACTGATACAAAACAAGATGCCTGGTTTATGGTGTCATGTTTCGAAGCAGTTTTTACTTTAATGAAAAAAAAGCCTAAGTAGATTCATATTATATTTAATAATGATGCCCACTATCATAGTAGTAAGATTATGATACTTGTTGCACACTGGTATGAGTAGTATCAAATAGAAGTTCGAGAGTAGTTATTTTTAGAACTAGGCAAAGCCAAGACCACTATTGATTCACATCACATAGCTGTTAGTATATTATAAATCTTGATCAGTATGATTAATACTTTGAAGTGTCCAGAGTACTGCTGCTCTAACTAAATAATTCTGCTGCAATTATTGTTAAATTAGCAAATTCTATAGAAATGTATAAATAATACTTAAAAAACAAAATTACAATGAAAAGAAATTCTAAAAAAAAATTCAATTTTATCACAATAGCTATATTTATTAATAATTTTATTTTGCACAAATTCTGCCACCACAGTACTCTGAATACTCTACTTTGAACCATATATGTTTGATATATATTACTTTGGTTAAACAGATATAACATTTAATATTTTTAAAAATTCAAACCTATATCCTTAATATGAGATACAATAATATCTGAATATATCATATAGTTTCTCATCAATATAACCAGAGTAATGTTATTTATAAAAGGTACTACAGGTTATCAAATAATTTATTTGTGCAGCACAAATAAATTGTTCAATAGCCCATAGTACTCTGTATTTGTCTAAAATATTATTATCTACTATTTTATAATATAAACCTACTATTTTTTTTTTTACAATAGATTTTCTATACTATAAAACATTATGTGAGAATAGAGTACAATATTTCAGAAGGATCAGATATTGTAGATGCTGCAAAAGAATTATTAGGAACTTATCTTGCAAATATTCAATCTAATAGAACTAAAAAAAAAATTAATTAAACAATAATTCTGAAAAAATTAATAATAAAAAAAAAAGTTAATATTAATACTATTCCAGGAATTTCTAATCTTTTTTATTAGGAATGGCCAATTAATGGCCTATTCGTAGGTTATATACAAGCACAACTAATGTTAAATTTTGGTGAGTTCATTCACTTTTCACTAGCTATAATAGCAAATCTTTGCAATAATAAAATCTCTAGGCCTGAACCAGTATTATCAAGCTCTACTATATCTAAAAATAAATAGAAAATGGCTTAATCAAGTAAATATAAATACTAATTTTGATTATCAAAAATTAGAGATATGCTTTTATATAAATAATAAAATAGAAAATATAGGTTAAAATATAACTTTTACCTTACTAGTTACCAGACAATCATAACTTGTAATCGAATATACAACTCATTACTCTAATTATTTCAATAAGGCTATACAAAGTTGATTTTTTTGTTTTGTATAATCTGATCAATCTATTATTTCAATTTTTCAAAAAAAAATTTTATTTTTTCTCATTTTATCTGATATTATCTGATAGAGACCTTAGTTTCCAAAATTATTCAACTTATCCAATTTATAGATCTTAGGTTATATAAAATAAAAAAAATTAACTTTGCATAGTCTAATGTATGTTGCATGGTTATAATCTTAGATCTGAAAATAGATCTTTTAGGAGCTAATTCTGTAAGATAAAAGTTTAAGTTAACTTTACAGATTTTCTTTCTTGTTACTTATATAATGTCTAAATTGTAATTTATAGAACTAATCATTAGCAGAAATCATATATCATTTACCACTATATATTATATCATTACAATACAGTAAAATCTTCCTAAGCACACCTTCTATAAGTGCATGCCTGCACTAAATCTAAATTTTGAACTAAAATATATACATGGCCTTTATAAACACACTTTTTCTTATTGTTCTTTAAGTGCATGTTTGTAAAATTTGTAAAATTTGACCTAAGAGCATATACTTATAAAGGTTTGCTATAATATAACCTTGATATAATGATGAATTTTTCTAGCTAAAATTATAGATTTATTATAGTAAGGTACCTTAATATATTGAAACTTTGATATATCAAACCAAACACCTTAGCTTCAGTGCTTTGTTATATTGAGGTTGAAATATACTACATCTAATATTTCTGCTATAAAGTCATTAGATCTGTGAATATTATTAATTTTAAATATGAGTTTTTTAAATAAGACCTGAGTATCATATATAGTGATAAATAATAAAGGCTATTAGAAAATTTTTCATCTACAATATACACAATACAACTATTAAGAATACAATATATTATAAAATTAATAACATTATATAATATAGGTACAGTTGGCATATCACCTTGTTTAGTATTAAAAAGTTCTAATGAATCAAGTAAGAATTTTAAAAATCATTATATAGTTGAGTGCTGCAGAGCGAAAAGCTAAAAGTGAATATTCAAGTTTTCACTATAGTGAGTTTAGCTCCTGAAAAATTGTGGCATTATGTATATTCTAAACAATACATACTGTATATGCAAATTATGATCTTTACTAAACAACTGGGTAGTTATTTTTGAACCTGTACTATCCTTACATATATGATGTAATAACATTTTGTCTGATTAAAAAATAATTACCTAACACAACATCAAAATTTATCAGAATTCATCAGAGGATAAACTTGCTATAGTGAAAACTTAAATATTCACTTTCAGTTTTTTGCTCTGTAGCATTCAATTATTATATCAGATAATTTACTAATAAATAATTTTCAAATATGTTTTACTTATTTAAATGATAAGTTAATAGATATTGATCAAATATACAGGTTGAGCACTAAAAGAGAATCAAAAATATGATAAAAAGGGTAATAGTAAGTGTATAAAAACAAATGTCAAATAATTATTAATCAGTATGTTTTTAAATGAGAATATTAATCCTCATGATAAATTGACTGCACAAGAAATATATAACTCTCTTCAAGAATTTACAATATCTGGAGAGGTGGAAAAGAAGAATATACCAAGCATAACCACTATCAAAAATTGGATAAGTACTTATTCGGCTGAGTTTAAGGAGCAGATGATGCAAAAAAAAAAAAATAGCTACAAAGATCAATAAAAAATAAACAATACTTAGCCAATATTCAATAACAATAACTATAAAATACAGTAATAAAGTTTTACTTAGAATTGAGTCAAGAAATAATTATAATATACCAAAATAGTTGTAAAAAGCTTAAAATTAGAATAGGAATTGTAAAATTTGCAAAAATTAAATAAAAAAAGATTTATTAGCTTGTTTAGTATTTGAAATTGCACTAGACATTTATAGTTACAGTAATCTGAATAAAGCTGCTTGCCAAATTTAATATCGAATTGGTTGTTAGAACAAATTATCAAATTTTGAAGTTGATAATCTTACTATTGAATGATCAGATTATAATAATTTTATACATTATGCATTAGAGTGTATAATTTTTATTTAAAGCAGAAAATTGTCTATTTAATTATTTTTAAAATAAGCTTCTGTTACACTTAATTAGTGTAATCACTATTGATTTATGACAGATTATTAATTAATACAAAATTAAATATAACTTAGTAATTATAATATATTTTTACTGATTTACTAGAATTATTAGTAGATATAGAATCAGAATGTTTAAATAAAGAACTTACAGATGGATTCTAAATATACTGACGATCATAAATAATACAACAAAAAAAAAAATTTAGTCAGATCATATTATCTTACTCAATTCCAGACATATTTGTCAAATTTTTTTTTTATTTTATTCACAAATACTATCTTTTTTAGATAGCAAAATTTTAATAATCGTTATTATTATCAATGCGAAGATAATTATGAATTTATTACAAATCATGTGTTGCATTATTTTTGATCATTTTTAACAAAGATCAGATCGCATGAGTTGTGCCACATAAAACATATAAAAATGGAAGTTTCATTGTTAATTCTGCATCTTGTGTAATGTTAGAATTGCTTACAAATCAAAAAAAAAAGAATCATACAACTTCTGCCAAATGAGCCCAAATATTGCTTTCCTTTCAAAAAGGGTACACCACAAGAGCAATAGGTCAGGCCCATCATGTTAACTTTTCTATGGTCTTGTAACTTAGAAAAAAGTGGTTAACAAACTATACATTTGAAGATTTAGGAAGAGTTGGTTGCCAACTTTGTTAAATGAACCAACCTAAAGAAGAATAGTAAATTTAATTACTTCTCATCACTGCTCTACTGCCATTGAAGTGAGGACCCACCTCAAAATAAATGAAAATATTGAAATTTCAGTGTCTACTATTCAGCAGATACTTCGAAACCATGGTTTAGTGTTAGGAGTAAAAAAAAAAAACCCTACCTGAGCGATAGTTATTGAAAAATGCAGCTCGCTTTTGCAAAAAAATATGAAAAATGGACCATTGAAGATTGGTCCAAGGTAATTTGGTTGAATAAGTCAAGATTCCAAATTTTTGAATTGGATGGTAAGCAGTATTATTGAAAGTGTCATGAAGAACTGTTAAATCAGTTTCATATAAAGCTTACTATAAAATATGATGGCAGATCAATTATGATTTGGGATTGCTTTACCTGTCACAGTATCAGCAGCTATTGTAAGGTCGATGGTACATTGGATACAGATCTGTACCTAAAGATACTCTATAAAGATTTGATGTAGACGATTGAGAATTATAGATTTGAAGTCAGTGAAGTTGTTTTTCAACAAGATGAAGCATCTTGTCATATGGCAACCTTGACCAAACGTTGGCTTACAAGAAAAAAGATAAAGTTTTTCAACTGGCTTCCCCAATCAGCTGAACTAAACCCAATCAAACACTTATGGGATGAAGTTGATTGTCAGCTTAGGGACCTTTCTGGTCAAATTTCAAGTGAAAAAGATCTTTGAGAAAAAATTCAGATGATTTGACAGGCAATCGATGTTAAAACCTGCATGAGGTTAATTTGTTCAATGCCAGAACAAATCCATGATATAATTAGAGCCTGGGGCAGCTACACCAGATGGTAATAGCTGAAAATTATTAGAAAAAAACAAAATTTTTTTTTTTTATATAAAAAAAAATTTTTTAGTTTTACAATTATGTTGCTGTTAAAACAAGCAAAAATAATGCAACACATATATTGAAATAAAGCTCATGCCCTCAAAAAATTTTAATCATTAAATTTTTAAATCCTTTTTATTAATGATAATATTGCTATTTGTAAATAAAATAAAAAAAAAATTTAAGAAATATGTCCAGAATTGTGTAAAATAATATGATCTGACTAAATTTTTTTTTTGTTGCATTAATTATGATCGCCAGTATATAGTAACTAGTATAGAACATTTAAACAGATTACTTAAATTAGACAATAACTAAAATTATATGAGTAACTAATTGTACACTCTTTTTATGATTGCTTCTGTGTCTGTTATATTAACAAATACTAACCAATAAGAGCCTGCAAATTGCTTATTTTTAAGACCTGATCTAACTAATATTTAAGATTAAAAATTTTTTTCTAATCCAGCCCAACTTGCATTTAGAGTTAACATTTTTTTGCTGACCTAGCCTGACCCAGCCCACTATATTAAATTTTTTCTTTAGCCCAGCCTGATCTGACACAAATCACAAAAATTTCTTATATAATTTTACAAAATATTAAACCTACACTGATCCATAATTATAAAATTTTGCAAATTTTTCAGCCCGGCCTGGCCCACAATTATAAAATTTTGCTTCAGGCCCAGCCTGGGCTGCGGGACCCAATGCAGGCCTCTACTAACCAATATATACTATTAATAAAATCCTGGATCACATATACTTACCTTAACATTAAAAAAAAAAAAATTTTTTAAAATACTACCTCCTACCCTTAAATAGAGAATAATAACAAATACATTTACAAATAACGGTTCTAAAAAGTAGATAATTATTTTTTAAATAATGCATATAAATAAATAATAAAAGTGTGTATGGCATTATTAATGAAATGATTTACAGGTTTCTGATTGGACGAATTTGGTACGTCACTTCTAATATGATCTGCAAAAATTAGCCAATCGGAATGAAAGCCCGCTATGCTCGATAGATAAGACTCGAAAATTTGGTGATCCCCTGTAAAAAAATGTCATGTTACATAACGATAAAATAATAAATTTTTCTTAATATGCTTTTTAAAGTAATTAACCTCTTTTTAAATTTTTTATACAAGCCAAAACATAAACTGTTTATTAAACCCTAATTAACTCTAAACAGTATAACTTTAAAGAGTGCGTTAAGAAAATGTAATATGATCATTATTATTTTATCTGCATAGTTAGTTGTTTGGAAGTTATTATTATTAAGAACGACTGGCAAAAGATCTTTATTATCGGAATAACCTGCACTATGTTAATAAAGTTTGTATTAATTGACTATATAAAAGGCTGGTTTATCGATATGTTCAGAACAAAATTAATCAATTTATTTAAATCACATGGGACGTAAATGTCCAGCATAAATATGCATCGCATAATATATAGCTAAAAAATTATCATATCACAAACTCATGTTATTCTTGATTAGTAATGGATTTTCTAGCTAATGCTCTTTGTCTTGCAGCTTCAATGGCCTCTAATCTTTTTCTTTTCTTCTCATCGTCTTTATCCTTTACTTTTTGTGCATCAGTCACCGCTGAATTCACTTTATCACTGCCTTCAAGCGTGTTGCTTTCACTTTTATCACTGCCATAAGATCCATCCAAATTTGCTGTTGCTAGTTTTTTGAATAAATTTAGTCTTTCTTGTACCCATTCTAATTTAACCTTGCTAACAACTTTCATCAAAGCCTTATTCGTATATAAAACACTAAGATAAGTTACCCAATCTAAATCATCAACCCTAACTATTTTATTATCAGGATGTAACGCGGATGTAGGAGAAATATGTAACGCCAACAGCGACGAATTTGAATCTATACCCTCACTACCAGGGCCAGTGGCTGATGCGTAATGATAAAATACCGGACGATGAGGGTGCCTTTTTGCTAAATTTATATAATATGAAGTAGAAAATGATTCAAGTATTTTCTCAGCATTATACTTAATATCTTGGTAAGAATTCCTTCGTTTTTTCCTGTGCCTATCACCATCGTCTTTGACTTGATAATTTTTTAGTCGACATGAAATCAATGGAAGATCATGTTTTACCATTAATTCTCTGAGTTGATCACGAACGCTTTTAGCCATCGATAAAGCTCGATAATTAAAGTATTTATCCCTACACCAATCACGACTATAACCACTATCTCGATATTTTTCAAAAATGTTCAATAGCATCATGTGATCACCTGAAGGATGATAGAACTCTCTTCTTTTTTCATCCGCATCCATTTGTTTTTCAGCACTTCTCGGAGATACGAATATTTCATCAACCGAAAGCATTGCTACTATTATTACAACCTCTCGACTACATTCATATTTCCTTGAACTTGCGATTAATACCCTAGAAAGAAAGGGGCTCAATGGAAAAATCGACATTTCATTGCCCAAAGTAGTAAGCTTTCCAGTATCATCTATAGCTTCTAGCAAAAATAGTTGTTTTAAAGCATTTTTTACCATAGCCGGATCAGGAGGATCAATAAATTCAAAGTTGATAATATCGTTGATCCCCATTTTCTTTAAACTAAGTACAGTACCCAGTAAACTACTTCTTTGTATCTCTGGTACGGTATCTCCTTCCATTTGTTCATAAGATTCCCGACTATAAAGTCTAAAAGCTTGACCCGATGCAGTTCGACCAGCACGGCCAGCCCTTTGCGTAGCAGCAGCTCGAGAGATCGGCACAACTAAAAGGGCATCCATTCCAGTAGCCGGATCGTAAGTTTTTTGTTTCACAAATCCAGAATCAATAACATATCTTAATTTGATGGTTTCATGTAAATATAGAAAAAAATTTAGTCATTTAAACAAATATACAAACAAAAGAAACATATTAAAGTAATTACTTGATACCAGGTATTGTTACAGAAGTCTAAAAGAATGATAATATAATTAATGAGATTCACAGTTATAATTAAACAAATTAAAAAGAAATAAAATATTTATTACCTGAGCAATATTAGTTGCAAATACAATCTTTCTAGTATATCGAGGAGGATCATCAAATATAGCTTTTTGTTCCATAGTTTCTAAAGTAGCATAAATAGGGTATATCACCAAGCCTCTTACATCCTCGAAATGTTTTACGTCAGTTTTATAATTTAGGTCTCGATCCAGACCTTCAAGGTCTCTACAAGCCTTCTCTATTTCATTTTGGCCGGTCAAAAATACCAAAATATCGCCTGGAGGTTCTTGGGTATGAATATATAAAGCGGTCTCTACAGAACGTTGAACGTAAGTTGATTTAAGGCTAGAGATTTTTGCATCTCGGTGATGGTTAATTGCCACATCATATGTTCTTCCAGGAATAATAAATATCGGACAACTATTAAAAAAATCTGAAAATTTTTCTACGTTAAGAGTTGCAGACATTACGAGAATCTTTAATTCTGGACGTAAACGATGAGTTTCTTTTAATAATCCAAATAAGACATCAGTTTCTAATGTTCTTTCGTGAGCTAAAAATTTCAAATTATAAAAAGTAATTCAGAATTGAGAAATTCAAAATAAAATAGATAAAGTAAAATATAAACATCAATATACCTTCATCAACAATTATAACATCATAATGGGATAGACGTGGATCAATAGTTGCCTCACGCAACAAAACACCATCAGTCATATACTTTAAATGTGTTCTAGCTGATGTACAATCGTCAAATCGTATGCAATATCCGATATCATCGCCTAATCTAGATCCATGTTCCTCAGATACACGATTAGCTACAGTAATTGCTGCTATGCGCCTATAAATTGAAAAAAATGAAATTGAAAAAAAAATGTAAATGAACATACACGAATTATTTTATATACATAAATTGCTTACAACAAACCTAGGTTGAGTTACTCCAATCAGCCTAAACTCTGGAAAACTTTCTAAAATGTACTGAGGGATCTGTGTTGTTTTACCAGATCCTATAAAATCCTAAAAGAATTAAATTTAAATTAAAAGATTAACAAGGATTAGAGGGATACATACCGGTCTCTCCGATAACTACAAGTAAGGGTTCACTTTTTATCGCGTCAATTATTTCTTGTCTGTAAGGAAAAACCTTTTTTTTTTTAATCAAACAGCATGTCAGAACAATAACTATTACAATAAGAGTCAAGATAAAAGAAAAAACTTACCGGTAAAGATTCCCTTTGTCTAATTATCTCTGTACTGACCATACTTTTTTTTTTTTAAAAAAAAAAAAAAAAAGCACAGCAAATTTATATTGAGGAATGCCAAGTGAAAACCCGGAATTTTTACACAACGAAATGCCGGCTTTAATGAAATAACATGTGATCTAAAAGAAAATTATTATAACTTAAATCTTAATACTGCCCATGAATGAAATTTATTAATACGAAAATTAAGAGTGGGCAAGCAAATAAAATTTGATAGCAAGAATATATGAGTTATTTTTTGTATTTTAAATTGGATAATATGAATTTAATTGATCACAATATAAAAAAAACTCATTCTTGAAAATCCTAAAATTATAAGTAAAAATAAAAAACATCAAAATCTCAGATAAATAAAATAATTTAATATATAAAGGTAGTTACAACACATAAGAACAGTACATTATTGGCCTCACCATTAATATTAAAAAAAAAAAAAAAGAACAGTACATTATAGATTAATATAAGTTAAAATAAAACACAAAAAAGAAATAACATTAACAACAAACAAAACACCAAAGTAATAGACTCTTGGGTTAACTTATAACTTTATGTTTGAAACAGAATAAAAGATCAAAATGGAAAATTATAATACTATAAGTAAAACTAACAACAATAGCAACAATACAAACAAAAAAGAAACTAGAATAAATATAACACATTTCAGTGCAAAAGTAAAAAAATCTTATTCTGATCTAGTTATCATTATACAAAAAGATAAAAAGTGATAAAACTAATATATTTCTAACAAAAACAAAAATGACATCATCACAAAACAATAATAACAAAATAAAACTAGTTCAAATCAGTTTTGATAACAATATAACAGAAATGAAAAGTAATAAAAACAACTAATATATTATAAACAACAATAATGACTATAGCATAACTATATTAATACAACAACAACCTAAAACAATATAACAAATCAATATACAAATATAGATGAACATAACAATAAAATAAAAGTTACTGAAAATCAAAATACAGTAATAGTAATAGATAGCAATTAAATGAAAATAGAGACTAACACACAGCAATAGTACAGTAATATAATAGTAGAACAAGCAATAACACAAACAATATATAGTCAGATAATATAAAAAAATATAGTACACAAAAACAATATACAAAATATAACAAACTGACTTCACAGAAGAATAGACACAAGAGATTAATAAGAAACTAGAAGAAGAAGTACATAAAATATTTGACAAAACTACATAAAACTATGACAAATAGTAGAAGTACTAAAAAGTGAAAAAGAAATCTAAGATTTCATTAAGTATAAAATACAAACCAAGTCAACAAATTAGATATTATATTTAGCAATTAAAGCTAAGTTCAGATATAAAGATATCATATTTTTTCTTATCTTTAGTAAAGTAAAAAAATTAATATTATAATACCAAAAATTCTATGAAAATTTTTTCCAAAAAGTATTAAAGAAATATAAACTAACCAACAAAATAACTATTATAGACAGAAAAACAAGAGACCTAATTCATTAAAAATTATAACAAAAAATAATGATTAATTATCTAACTAATAAAAAGTTTTACAAGATGTTTATAAAATAAATATTTTATCTTATCAAATATTACAAAAAATTCATCAAAGATAAAATTATAGAAAATAATTCAAATTTATATAAGATTATACAAAAAACAACAACTATATATCTGTAACAACTACCAACAAATTTTAACCAAATTTCAACAAATATTATTCAAATACTTTCTTTCAACTTACCTATATGACAAAAAAAATATATCAAAACAGTTATTGCAGTACTATACAAAATATATCATTCTGACAAACTACCAGAAACTTATTTTACATTATTAGAACTATTGTCTAACACAGTCAAGGATTTAAATTCTAAAATTAAACATTTTTTTCCAATTACAGAAAGAAGTCAACTAAAAGAACTTGCAAATATAACAAGGCAGCTAAGAAATTATTACTTTTTTAACAGAATTCCAAGTATCTACTACTTCTAAAAAACTATTAATAGCAGCCTATCAAGACCTAAAGCCTACATATAGACTTTATTTTTTATAGATTCACAAGATCCAGACACAGATATTAAAAAACTAATCTAAATACTAAAAAAAAATTATTTCTTTGAAAAATTATCTAATGATTACTTTTTAGTAAAACCATACTTGTTTAAAAAAATTAGCAAAATTAAAACAACTAATAGCTTTAAGTTCAAAAAAAACTCTTCCTGCTGATCCCTTTTACCAAATTCGGCAAAAATAAACATCTTAGAAAAACTCAACTATCACTATAAAAAACATACTTTGCACAGCTAACAAAAAAGTTTTAGCCAAGAAAATCACTGTAAGTTATATAGAATAACTTTACAAAGAGAACACAGTCTAGCCAACTTTTGCTAGAGAATAGAAAATTTTACTGAAAACTTTGGAAAATTGGAAATTTGGAGTTGATCCCAGAAAAACTGAAGATCAGAACACCTGACCAAACAACAACATTAACAACACTAGTACAATCAAGTAAACAAACAAGTCACATTTTGGTAAGTAAACAAACAAGTCACGTGTCTTCTCCAGAAAACAAATATACAGTAGAATAGCCAAAACAGGATAAGCTAGACATGGATTATCAACAAACAAAGAAGAATCTAGAAGCAAATAATGAGATCGATATAGAGAAATTGCACAAACTGGGGTTGTGTTACTTCATTAAGGGGTATGTGAAAAAAAACTTAAAATATATAGAAAGTGACACCTTAACCATAGCACTTGAGATGACAATGCCACACAACCTAACAGAAATTAAACTAATTGCAAGAGCTATTTCTATTAGAGACCCAAATCACATAACAGAAATAGACATGCTTATGTATGGGCAAATAATTGAAGTTTTGAAAAAGGTTAAGACGCGAATGCCAGACTATACAATTAGAGGATAGGCAGAGAAAGCAAGAATGACTTATCAAAATCCAGAAGCAGTTAAGTATCTAATGAGCCTCAGTAAGGAAGAAATTCAAGAAGAAAAGAACAAAATAGAAGGAATTAAAAAGCAGGCCAACAACTTAGATGAAATGCAAATAACAAGCAATAAGAAAAGAAGTCAGGAAGAAATAACAAGAGAAGCAGACAAAGATAAGGTTGGAAAAATAGCATTACAATTTTAAACCTTAGACATTACATCAAATGGAAGACACAAAGGACATAGAAATCAAACCAAAAAAGAAGTCGTAGGTCAGCAGAAAGAAACAACAGGTGAATTGAAGGAGAAAAAATATAAAACAGATGAAGAAGCATCAAGAGACGAAATTATTAAGGATGTTCAAAAAGAACTAGAAAGAGTAACAAAAGTGCTAGAAAATTTTGATAAAAAGAGAAGAAAAAGAGTATACAGAATTCAGTGAAAGATGTGCATCACTTGAAAACAGCCTGTGGGTATCACAGAACTGAGACTGTGACAGAAACGAGTCATTTAAAGCAAAGTTACCAACTTACAAGGTACCAGGTGACTCAAAAGAAGAGAGAATTAAATATATAGAGTGGGTACTCAGGAAGAACAAGCACATCAAAATGGTTAAAGAAGAATTCATAAATGGCAACAGCTAGGTCATAGTCAATTTTGACTATGAGTACAGCATGCTTACAACAATCAAGAAGATGAAAGAAAAGAAAGATGATTGGTTCAGTCTCATATCAGAAGAGAGAGAAATCATAAGAAGTAAAAAGACCTGGGACAGTAAAAACAAAAGAAGAAATGAAGGCAAGAAAGGCAAATAGAAAATCAATCAAGAAGAAGAGAAAAAAACTAGAGACAACTAATCAGAAGCTAATTCAAGCAGAAGAAACTCTGTAAGCACAGAGAAAAATAAATATGAAAAAAGAAACCTATACTGAGTAAATGAAGCAAGAACAAGAAGCCCTAGTTGCCTAACAATCTGG